TGGACTGGGGCATGTTGCATGGGGCCTTTGGCCCTTGACTTCATTTTGCAACCTTTTGCTAAGATGGGAATAATGTGCTTTCAAAATCTTTATGGTGTGAACCAAGAAACTAAGGAATAATAATGATTACAGATTTTAGTCGAAGGCTCTTCATGATCAGTACTACTCTTTTTCCTTTGAACAATTTATATCATGGACAGCATATTAACTGTATATATAAATGGCAGGTAAAAAAAAAAACTTCTTGTAAATAAATGTATACTGCTAGAAATATTTATAGAAAGCTAAAAAGCTTTTGTTGGTGCTCAAATCTGAAATTTGTCACTAGATCAAACAAACTGAAAGGATGCTCCCTGCAGATTTGGTCAACCACTACAGCTACATATACTTTTGGCTGATATCCAATCACAAAAGTACTCATAATCAAGAAAGTTTGCACATTCACTAATTAGTAATTATAAGTACTAATACAGTATCCAAACTCATAAGATTACCAAAGAGGTCCATCAACCAATCTCATTCATTCATGATATTCAGGTTCAGATTACTTATTAGTTCCTCCAGATGATGATGATGGCTTAACTTCAGCTTGACCATTATCCGGATGATCCGCCTTACGTTCTTCAACTTCACCATCTTTTTCTCCTGGTGATGATGCCTTGGCTTCTTCTGCTTCACCGTCAACACATGAAACAGGAGTACTATTATTAGTTCCATTATCAACATTACTGGTCTTACAAGTACTCCCTTCCTCTTCCTGTTCTCTTAATCTCAGTACAACAAAGGCAAAACAAAGCTCTTCGTTTATACCAATTCTAATAGCCCACAACTGTACCATCTGGCCTTCTTGGAGCCTGTTCTCTGTCAAAACTTTTTTCCAATCTCCTTTGAGCACATAAGATACACTCGGCTTGCCAAATTCCTTCCTCATCTTCCACCTGCTCAGGCCCACTTTCTCTACTTTCCCCGATGGCTCAATTATCTTTACCTCCATTGTATTCCAATGCGCTCCATCAGGGGTACGGTCTTTAAGGAATTCTAATTCTTCAGGGAGAAGAAATTCCTCCTTCATCTGGTTTACTGGAATGGAGAATCGGTTTTGAGCGAATTGAGTATCAGTTCTTGTTAGGCTTTTTTCTATCACCTTTATCTCTTTGCCTACTACCCCGCCTTCGGCTTTGGCTTTAATCCGCTCCTTGAATTCTTTAGGCAGAGGTGGAGAATCAAAACCAACGATAGTTACCTTCCTTTTCCTATCCTTCTTCTGCTTTAGGCCATAATCATCGTCATTATTATCATTATCACTAGCCGCCTTGTTTACTTTTCTCTTCTCTTTTTGGCTCGTAACTTTCCTGAATTTTTTTTCTACTTTCTTCTCTTGATGATCACTCGTTTCTTCCACTGCTGGATCTGATTCTGGCTTATGAAGATTACCCAAAACTTCCTGATGATCATCGAGATGCATCATTGATGTTGTAAGCTCTCGTCTGATTGACCTTTTACCTTTAGACTTTGCCAAGGGTTCGAGTTGGATTCCGTTCTTGGGTAACAAACGTACTTGTTCTGGATTCCTTTTCTTCCTCTCTTCTTCTTCATCTAGCTTTTTCTTTTCTTCTTTAGCTACTGTAGCCAATAAATCCAACAGGCACATCGCCATTAATTTTGTTTGATCAAGATTCAAGATGACATTCGAGAATATTGATCATCAGAAAAAGAGTAATGTTTTTGGCACTTCTCACGGGTTCCATATATAAAACAAACAACTTTCGTTCTTTTCATTATGGTATTGGGATTCCAAATCATGCAGGTTTCGGAAGCGTGAACTACTGGGACATGTTTTAGTTTCCCTTTGGGATTTGGAAAAGGTCAGTTTTAGGAAACTTAAAAAAAAAATAATAATAAAAACAACGCCTTCTAATTTGTTTAGCCATTCGTCAATTTTGTTTGTGGATTCCTTGCGTTTCAAGCTTCAAAATCTTGGTTTAAGGGACAAAAAAAAAAAAGTGAACATAGTAAATTAACGTACTCAAGAGGATTAATTATTATAAGTTGAATAAAAAAAGAATACCAATTTATAAATTCTGGTTGAAGAAGAAATTGAATTTTCATAGAGATTAATTTCGTTTGAATGATTTCCAATTGCATATGCTCAGAAAACTGAAAATCGATGCAAATATATGGTATAATGCAATGATATGGACTTCGACGAACTTACTTCAGCCCCATATTGAGATAAAATTTAAAGTGTAGGAAAAAAAATAAAAACTGATGCGTAATGCAAAGAAATGCAAAAAAAAAAATGCAAGAAGGCAAAAATAGAAATCATAAAATTTGCTAAAAGTTCCCTTTCCCTCACAGCCACTTTTGAGTTTTTTTAAAAAATAGGTCACTTTGAAAAGAAAATATTTAGCTGCATTTTGGCTAGCACTAAACTGATAGAAAGGGAAAACCAAAAAATGAAGAAAAAGAAAAGGGATCAAAGAGAGGCCAGACTAGAGAGAGAGAAATTCACAAGCACTCTTTTTTTCTTTTTTTTTTTTTGAAGAAAACACATCATCGAATTTGAGCACAAAAAACTCAAAAATTGATTTAAAGCATGGCATATAACATTGACAGGCGTCAAACCCTGTGCAATAATAAATACCTGCTCAAATAAAATACAAATTCTGTATATAGCGGTAAGCAGGGTCGAATCCACAGGGACTGGGGATAATTTAATTTCTTCTCAAGTTCCAGATATGGGGGGTTTTTGAAAATGATAGTAACTAAATTACTTGGAATAAATTAAAATAAAATAAAATAACTAAAACTCAAATAACTAATTATCACAATAAAAATAATAATGGACGAACTCTAGCCAAGAGACAACTTCAGAGATGGTTCACTTAATTCGATCACAGATGTAAGGATTATTCCAGTTACTATCTGATAAATTAGTTATAGTTGTCATACACGCGATAAACAACCAACTCTTCCTCAATTTGTCGATAGCCAAGGTACGACCGTTGACTATTTCTCTAATCAGGAAATAACCCTAGGTACGACCATAGAAGTTCAATTCCCTAATTGCATGAATAATTAGAAGAGCCTAATTCTAACCAATCAACACGCTACGAGGGTCTCTTTAAGTTAGCCTGCCTATCTCCCTGACACAAACACAATCATGCCAGTTGCCATCAGTTTAGAATAATTAAACAATTACGGATTTAACTACCCTAATTGGCTTCAGGTTATTGAATTAATCTAGAATCCGGGCCCTGGATAATCGAATAATAAAACAACCATATGAACATAAAGCAGAAGATAGACGAATACCAGAAAATAATAGGAAATAAATAAAAACTAATTCGATCTCACAAATTTAGTAGAACCAAGTCCTCCGTTGTTCCTTGACTAGATGAGAAACTTAGCCACGCCTCATGAGAAAATCTCCAGTAATTTAATTGAGGTCCAGGCCATAAGAAAAACCAAGAAAGAATAAAACTAAACTATGCTAAAAACTAAGTTAAAACTATTGATTGATTGATAAGAGTTCTCTGTATGTTTGTCTCCTTTTTAAAGCCAACAATGACTAAAGCTTCTTATCCCTGTGGTCCCCTGCTGAAATTGAGAATCAACCCAAAAGTGGGACTCTATCGAAGTCCTTGCTTTTAGTTTCCTATTGCCCGTAGGACTCCAATCTCCTAATCAGCAAAGGAAATGCAATCTCTTTGTAGTACCATGTGGGCCCGGTTGTTTGAAATCCCAATTATCTCCAAAAAGTCCCTCATTTTTGTAGTTTTCTGTTTCACTTCCTGAAATTGAGTCAAATACCAAATATAAGTAAATATTAATAATTAAAACAATATTTGACAAGGATAAAAGGGAAAATTAACAATAAAATAACCAGCAATTAACACCCTATCAAACATCAACCTCATGCTTTGGGTAGAATATTAAGTAGAATTAGCAATCTCAGAAAAATGCTTAAATTTCCAAGTTAGTCGTGCCGCTCCTTACATGACTTGTGTGCGTTACACACACATATTATATATTCTACACTGTTAGTGTATACACTGACAGCCCTAAATACATGTTACTTCATCTGAATTTGAATTTAAACACTATAAGTCTACAAATTTGGATAAATAAAAATATGCATTACTAGTATCCAATCCTTGATTAGCTTGATTATTGACTGAATGGTGATCTTAATCTACTGACTGCATGTTACTGCAAAACTATTGACACCGTACCTCAATTGTAAGAATGTCAATAATTGATAACTTCATTTGATTTAACTTCTCAAATTGTTCAAACGATCCCAATATTTACTATTACAAAAGAAGGCCCTCAGTTCATTAATATTAATCTTGATGCATCGTGATATAATTCGTGATTTTCTTTCTTCTAGAAAAGCGATTTAGCTGATTATTCTGATAAATATTTTGTTTATCTCTAATTGGTTTTCTAGCTTTGAAAAAAGAAAGAAGTTATTATTATTTTTTTTTTTGGAGAAACATTTCGAGAAACTTTCAATTAAAACCTACGTGCTTTTCAAAAAAAAAAAAAACAAACATACACTTCATCTCCATACCAAAATAAAAATAAAAATGTATATTAATTTGAGCTTGTCTTACAAGAGTGCTCAATGGATGTGAAATTCAAGTGCTAGTGTTTTGGTAAGTGAAATTGAATCAAATAATTGTTTAATTGGAAGAAAATCTAAAATTAAATGTGTACATGCATATGATGAGTTGTAATTAAGTGTACTAATGAGCATTACCACACACTCTTTGGGAACCATTCCGTGTAATACAGACCCTGGTGTGAACATAATAAAACGCTTTCTATAGACGTTAAAGGTCTTGCTCCTCGCGACTACTCCTCAATCAACCTAACAACAATTGGCAAGTAACGTATAACAAAAAAGGACAAGCCCCTTATCTTTTACACGCCCAAATGCTCATGCCCATGTCCATAAATACAGCTTTGAGAGATCGATCCCAGAAGCCCAGAGAGCTGTTTAAGTTTCAGTGCTGAGTCCTCTTGCAGCTGCTGCAAAACTGGGCAATCATCGTTGATATTTGGGTATTCATTATTACCGGAGATGGAATTCTCTATGTAGCCTTGTCAAAATTTTTGGCTATACACCTGATTTACTGCTATGATGTTTCTTTCTTTCTTTCTTTATTTTTTTTGTTCTTTTTTTCTTCCTGTCATGATTTCCTTTCCCATAGGGTGTTGATTAAGAGTTAAGACCACTGTTTTCTTTTACAAAAATAATCTATTCTCAGCAGTTTTTTGGTTTTGTGGCTGCAAGATTTGCTAATGCAGAGAAGTGAACGTCAGATATGTACTCGATCAAAATCCTAGAGACCACATATGCAGGTACCCTCATTTGTTTCAACCATGGTATTCTTTTTTTTTTTTTGGGTTTTTTTTCTCGTACAATTAATTAGTAATGGTTGAGAAATTAATGACTAATGATTACTCCTGCCTCGTTTTCTTGTTTTTACTCTGATGACAGCTCTGCATGTCGACGTTTTGCTGAAATTAAGATTTCACAGAGATAACTCAAGCAAGGTTGCTGTTCATGGCACGTCACATCACATCGACGGCTGGTTATCTCATCTTATGAAGGTCAGAATTCCAATCTACATTTTCTTGGATTTAGAATGAAGAACAGATTATAATAAGTTCAGTACCTTTTTTTTTTTTTTTTGGCTCTTCGAGAGTTGAAAAAAAAAATCAGACTCTTAGCCATAGGGTTTTCTGTAAAAGAGATTAATTACTTCCCTCGTAAATTTGATGAACTTGCTTTGCTATATGGTTTTCCCCTTGACATTTTTGTGATGTAGCTTCTTTTGCAGATTGCTCCTGCCGCAAAAGTTATCTAACCAAAGGCAGGAGCCATTGCTACGGATTCTGCTTGGTCCAGGCCCTGCAGAAGCAGCAGGACCTACGGCAGGATCCAATAATCTTCCGGCAGCTGCATCGGAGCACCGGCGCCACCAAGAAAAAAGATGGGGAGTGAAGCAAATGGTCCGTTTTTATTTTTATTTTCTGGGAAGAGATTCAAGTGAAAATTAGAGAAGTAAGAGAAATTCAAGTAACTAGTTTTGTACCATATACATATATGGCAAGTAAACTCTTCCTTGTATTGAAGAGGCTTGTTAAATGAACTTGTTCTTGAGTAAAAACGTATTACTGATCAAACTTTTTTTAGTAAAAACATATTTACTTGTTTTTTCGCATCTCAACATACATTACAAGTTGATGTCCTATCAATGAATGCACTAGAAATGGTAGATTTGCCAATCACCAAAATTTCTCAAGTACAAAATCAAGAATATAGAACTCCAAAAACACCTTAATAACGCCTGAGAAATTCTGGTATCAAAGTGCTACCACGAAAATATAAACACAGTACTGGAAACACTGGAAAAGCCCATGATAAGTTGCAAACAGTTTTTGTTTTCCTTTGCGCATTTTGAATTTCTGGTTTTTGTAGCTAGTGAACCTTTTAATTAAGGCATTTTCCTACCTGCTTTTAGAAGGAATTACAAGAAAATTTCAAATGTGGGATGAATTCTCGAAAATCAAAGTAGATTCCTGGATAACAACTTAAATGCAAAAGAACAAGAAAGTCAGGGGGGACTTGTTTGCTCACATTTAATATTTTTCCTATTAAAGTGAGAAGGAAAAAGAAATAAAAAGGAGGTCAGTTTGAATTTTTTTTCCTTCTAAAGCAAGTCTAAAAAAGGGGAGAAAAAAGAAAAGAAAGAAGTCAGTTTGCTAAGTACACATACATAATATACCTGTATGTGTGTGTGTATACACACACCAAAGATTTTCTTTCTTTCTTTTTTCCTTAAAATGGTGCTTGATTGTGTTATGTGGTGTAGCTTTGTTTATCATGTCCTAAGTATCCCATGGGTTATTTCTCTTTAGAGGTATGTATACATAAGTTTTGGCTTCTAAAATACTCAAAACATTGATGACAAAAAAATCCTTATAGAGAAATTTGTAGCTCTCAAATTTTAATTATTCCTATTTAATGGCCTCTCAAGCCTCCAATAAAAATAAAGTTAATCAGTACTTGTACTGATTAGAATATCATGTCACAAAATATGGCAAGTTTGAACCAAAAAAGAAAAAAGCAACTCGTTCTTATGAACATTTGATTAGAGAAGAAGAACTCGCGCAACGCACGAGAGTTTGGTACCTGTGGCTAAAAACAATTATAAAATAGTTTAATTATGCATCCTATCTCAAACGAGTAACAACAAAGAATGACCTTCATAGTAGATATATTAAATAACATAAGCCTCAATTGGCTTTGGCTGCAAAAGTTTCATCAAACAAATACTACTCAATTAGTACCATTACCATCCTAATCAAACATACAAAACCAAATATAAATTAATCAACTTAGGTACTAATCAATCAACAAGTATCATGACAATCAAAAAGTTAGGTAATTACAAATATGTCAGACAATCGCTTGCATCCACCAGTAATAGTTAAGATTATTCTAAAAAATCCCCGTAAATCTCTCTTTTTTTTTACAGAAGTCACAAACCTATTATTAAATCCAAAAAACAAGAATTTACATGCTAAATCAATTTACTACCACTAATTTATCAAATGTAAGAAACAAAACTCTAGTTTCAGAAACTAGATATTGATCAATCAGGAGAGAAAGAACACAAATCTCAAGCTAAACTACCAAACATAGCTTCGAGCAAATATATCGAAATACTAAGTGAAACAAACTATTAAGAAGTAATGATATAATAGAAGTTGAAGAGAATCCAACGGAAGAAAATGGAAGAGCAACCATTAATTCGAACAATTACTTGTAACTGTCGAAAGTGACACTCGAATATAAACATCCAATTAATTGAATAACACATGAGAAAGGGGCTTTTAAGTAATCTATCGGAACACAAGTTCAATTCAGTCGTAGCTAATGCTCAACCTGACACCGAATACTATCAACCATAGTTATTAAACCCGGTCCGGCCCGGCCCGGCGGTTCGACCGGTCAACCCGGCGAACCGGCCACTAAACCGGGCCGGTTCTTCAATTGGATCGTTTCTGCATATGAACCGTTGACTTTTCAACGGACCGGTGGTTCAACCGGATTAAACCGGAAACCCGGCCGGTTTTGTGGGCAGACTGGGTTTGAGGAAAAAATGTTTGTCCAAGCCTTTGCTTGAATTCAAACTTCAGACCTTCGGTATTGTTTGTGCGTAGCTCACCACCAGGCCACTTTGTCATTTGTTCATTAATGGCCATTCGTATGCTATATGAATGTTTTGTTAATTTCATCTTTATTTTTTTAAACTCTCCAAAACAAATGTATTTGGAATCTTTTAATAAAACTTATGACCCTTATATTCTATAAATTATAAAATAGATTTCAAAAATAACATATTACATAATTTATTTTAAAGACAAATATTGTTTTTAAATATTTTTTTGCATTTAAAATTTGTAAATAATCTAGATAATTACAATAAACATCTACACTTGAAGTTTGGTGGATTACTAATTAAATTTATGTTTTGCTGATTCTTATATGAATTAAATATTCTATAGCAAATTAAATTAAATGAATATTTGTTATGACATTATTTATTACAATTTATCTCATATATCCTATATCAAAATTTATAAAATATAATATTTAAATATATGTAGTGACCCACTGGTTCAACCACTCACCCACCGGTTGAACCAATGACCCGTTGACCCACCTCCTTTGCCGGTCTCCTCTCCGGGCCGAGTTTAATAACTATGCTATCAACTACTAAACCTGTTCTCAGACTTAAATGTCTGAGAGTGGACATCTAAGTATTGCAATGAAATCAAAGCTACTCAGTGCTCTAATTACACTTCAAATATTTTCACATTTTCAAACTATCCTTATCCTTGCGGTTGAAATTCAAATACAACTCTTTGATTAACGCAGGGAAGAGGATTGAAAGAAGATATATGCATGGCAACATGTTATATGCGTGACTCCAAGAGCAATATTTACTTCTGCTGACCTTCTACCACTTATTTACTACAGCTTATCACCTTTCTAAGATAGTGGTTTGGTCATATTGCTTGGGTAGAATATAAAGCTTAAAGTTGGTTATGCTGTAGTTTCATTAACCAAGTCCATGAACATAGCAGTAACTTGTGTTCACCATCAAACACCTAATCCCTCAACACTGACAAAATCAGCTTCCCTCACAGGCTCTTATAAGGTAATCAGATATTGAATGGGAAGACCAAAAGCGACGTAGGTACAGAATTGACCAGTTGGTGCCAACAACTCTACTCCTCTATTTAGTGCTTTTCGCCATAAAGCTAATTCAGAACTGAACGTCCATGGAATTCAAGCTAATTCAGCCTCCATTTTTATCACGTCACTTTTCCTAGACTTTGTTTTTAAATACACAATATTTGTAAGTCTCCTAAATACGTTGCCTCCTATAAACAACATGTGACGCAATGCCAATCATTGTACTTTCTATAGGGGTTCTTAAAAATAACTAACCTTTGATATTCTATTTTTTTCTGCATGTCCGCTGTTTATCCGCTATTCCATTCTTTCCATGGATTTGTCCTTGTTGCAAATGATCAGCTAAGTAATTTGGCCTTGTGCACAGGCTTTGAACTGACATGTTCCACTATAACATAACCATTTACAAATGAAAACTTTTTCTATTTCAGGGAAGAAGAGCACAAGCAATGATATACGGTGGTGACATTCATTTTTTCAAGAGACATTTCTAGCCATTCCGTCGATACTATATCTCCAACGCAAAACTTGAGACAGTCCAGCCCAGATATAATACTTATAGCAACGAATACTGTTGGGTTATTGACAATTCGACCGTTGTGCAGCAAGTTCATGAGTCGGAGCCTCCGATGCTACCAGATGTCTTCAACTTCAAACCGTATGGCAGAATCTATGAGCACATTGACACAGATGAAGAAATAGGTAACATTTGCCCCCTTTCATATTATTCTATAATACATTCATCCGAATAGACAACCTATCTCTACTACGCAGATCTACTTGAAGTTGCTATACATGTTAACCCAAGGGCCATAAGGGGACCAACACTTACCAGAGAAATAATCATAGTCGATAAAAGGTACATATTACATCCATCCAATTAATCAAAATAATATTTCGTTTTAAATAAGCACGGCTAACTTGTACATGTAGCTCCCAACCTCTTGTCTTAACACTTTGGGGTGAGCATGAATTTGATGAGGGCCAACAAATAGCTGACATGATCCACACACAACCAATCATTGCTGCTCTAAGAATTAAAGCAACCTCCTATCATAGTAAGTCTATGCATTTGACTACAGTAATACTTCTGGTTATCACTATTACATACCTTTGAATATGTTAACCCTATATTCACCTCAAATATTAATGAAATAAAACTATTCTCTGTGACACATAGCTTTGAACCTGTCAACCAAGTTTGCAACTTGTATCTTGATCAATCCTCCAACTGCTCAAGCAAATGCGCTTCGTACTTGGTAATGTCACCCTCTAACATTCAGCATAAATTAATAAACGTCCTACTCTTAAAGATCAAACTTTACATCATACCTCCATTACCTAATACATTTTGATACTTGCAGGTCAAGCAAAAATCAAGAAGTACTCCTGAAATTCATTACAGAACGAACATATGCAGATCGCTTAAATCTCTTCCCAGCTCCAATCGATGATCGACTATTAAAAGCTTGACAACTACAAATACGGTAACCACATATTCTGCAATACTCTCCTGCAATTTAAAAACCATCTAAACAGCTTTACAACAAATGAACAGAAGCGGCCATACTGGATAAGGGAATACCAAACCTATTTGAACGAAGCCAAAAAATGTGGTACAATGCATGCCCTATCTGCTACAAGTACCTTAGAGCACGACCGAACTTGGAATTTGACTGCACCTCATGCCACAAATGCATCTGTGTAAGCCCAAGGTATATATACTCTTCTGCCCAGTTACCTTCTTCCAACTTCATCATTTAAAGTCAACAGCAAACCAACAGCAAAAGGATAGCCCAAATCAATTACAACAATGATGAGTGAGTTCTGTAATAAGTTTCACTTTTTTGCTCTTATTATCCAATCTTGATTAGTGGACTCATTTTAGTTTCACT